TACAGGTCTGTGATTCCTCAGTCTTGCACAATTCACAGCGCTCACCATAGCACATACCCTCCCCAGTGTCCAGCACCCAGCCACCCCATCCCTCCCACCCCCCACACTCCAGCAGCCCTCAGTTTGTTCCCTGAGATTAAGAGTCTCTTATGGTTTGCCTCCCTCTCTGGTTTCGTCTTGTTTCAGTTTTTCCTCTCTTCCCCTATGATCCTGGGAGAAACCAGTTCTGCAGTCACAGCTGGAGACTTCAGTATCCCACTCCCAATAACGGACAGAACAACCAGACGGAAGGAAACAGAGGACATGCACAGCACAGTAAACCAACGAGACCTGACAGACACGTGCACAACACTCCAGCCAAGAGCAACACACTCATTCTTCTCCGGTGCACAGGGGACACTCCCCACAACAGACCATATATTAGGTCACAAATTAAGTCTTAAAGATATCATACAGAGCAGTCCCTATCAAAATACCAAAAGCATTTTTCATAGAACTAGAGTAAGCCTAAAGTTTGCATGGGACCACAAAAGATCCTGAACAGCCAAAGTAATTTTGAGAAACAAAAACAAAACCAGAGGTATCACAATTCCAGACTTCAAGTTATATTACGAAGCTGTAGTCATCAACAGTATGGTACTGGCATAAAAACAGACACATAGATCAGTGGACCAGAATAGACAGCCCAGAAATAAACCTACAATTATATGGTCAATTAATCTTTGACAAAGCAGGAAAGAATATCCAATGGGAAAAAGACAGTCTCATCAACAAATGGTGTTAGGAAACCTGGACAGCCACACGCAAGAAAAACCCCCCAAGCCCCCCAAACAAACAAAAAACTGGACCACTTGCTTTCACCACACACAAAAATAAACTCAAAATGGATGAAAGGCCTAAGTGTGAGACCTGAAACCATAAAACTCCTAGAAGGGAGCATAGGCAGTCATCTCTCTCACACCGCAGCAACACTTTTCTAGATATGTCTCCTGAGACGAGGGGAATAAAAAATCATCAGGACTTCATCAAAACAAAAAGCTTCCGCACAGTGAAGGAAACAACCAACTAAAAGGCAACCTACCTCCAAAGAAGACATGCAGATGACCAGCAGACACACAAAAAGATGCTCCACTTCACTCATCATCAGGGAAACGCAAATCATAACCACAATGAGAGATCACCTCACACCGTCAGAATGGCTAGAATCAACGACAAGAAATACCAAGTGTTGGCAAGGATGTGGCAAAAAGGGAACCCTTCCACTGGTGCAGCCACTGTGGAAAACAGACCATCCTCAAAAAGTTAAAAATAGAACTACCCTACTGGGTGTGTTTACTCCAAAAATATAAAAACATGAACTTAAAGGGATACACGCACCCCTATGTGTATAGCAGCATTATTTACAATAGCCAATTATGGAAGCAGCCCAAGTGTCCATCAATAGATGAATGGGTAGGTGCGCCTGGGTGGCTCGGTCTTTAAGCGTCTGCCTTCGGCTCAGGTCATGATCTCGGGGTCCTGGGATCGAGCCCCACATCGGGCTCCCTGCTCGGCGGGAAGCCTGCTTCTCCCTCTCCCACTCCCCCTGCTTGTGTTCCCTCTCTCGCTGTCTCTCTCTGTTAAATAAGTAAATAAAATCTTTAAAAAAAAGAAATAGATGAATGGGTAAAGAAGATGTGGGGTGTGTGTCTGTGTCTGTGTGTATGATGGAATATTATTCAGCCATAAAAAGAATGAAATCTTGCCATTTGCAACAACATGGATGGAGCTAGAAAGTACGATGCTAAGTGAAATAAATCCTTCAGACAAAAACAAACAGCACAGAATTTCACTCGTATGTACAATTTAAGAAACAAAAGAAGCAAAAGGAAAAAAAAGGGACAAGTCAAGAAAGAGACTCAACTGTAGAGAACAAACAGATGGTCACCACAGGGGAAGTAGGAGGGGAATGGATAAAACAGGTGAAGGGGATTAAAAGTACACCTATCAGGATGAGCAGTGTATGGAAGAGTTGAATCACTACACTGTACACCTGAAACTGATATAACACTGTATGTTAACTATCCTGGAATTAAAGTTAAAAACTTAATAAAGATATCATACACAGTATCTTGTCTGACCACAGCAGGATGAAGTTAGAAATCAGTAACAGAGAAAACTGAAAATTCACAATATTGTTGAAATCAAACAATACATTTCAAACAACCAATGGACCAAAGAAGAAATCACGGGGCAAATTAAAATATAGCGACAAATGAAAATGAAAACACAACATACCAAAACTCACGGGACACAGCAAAAGTGGTGCTAAGGGGGGAATTTATAGCTATAAATGCTCACATTTAAAAACAAGAAAGAGGGCGCCTGGGTGGCTCAGTCAGTTAAGCGTCTGCCTTCGGCTCAGGTCATGATCTCGGGGTCCTGGGATCGAGCCCCACATGGGGCTCCCTGCTCCGCAGGAAGCCTACTTCTCCCTCTCCCACTCGCCCTGCTTTTGTTCCTGCTCTTGCTGTGTCTCTGTCAAATAAATAAAATATAATAAAAAAATAAAAATAAAAACAAGAAAGAGGGCACCTGGGTGGCTCAGTCAGTTAAGCGTCTGCCTTCGGCTCAGGTCATGATCCCAGCGTCCTGGGATCGAGTCCAGTATCGGGGTCCTTGCTCGGTAAGAGAGCCTGCTTCTCCCTCTGCCTGCCGCTCCCCCTGCTTGTGCTCTGATAAATAAAATCTTAAAAAAAAAAAAAAAATCCTAAAATCCATATGCAATCTCAAGGGATCCCAAATAGCCAAAACATTCTTAAAAAAGAAAAACTAGAGGACTCACACTTTCTGATTTCAAAACCTACTACACAAAGCTTCAGTAATTAAAACAGTTGTGGCACTGCATTAAGGACATACAGACTGATGGAACAGAAGAGAGAGCCCAGAAGTAAACCCTTGCATATATGGTCAAATGATTTTTGACAAGGGTGTCACGACCATTCAATAGGAAAAGAACAGTCTTTTTAACAAATGGTGTAGGGAAAACTGGACAATCACACACAAAAGAACAAAGTCGGACCCTTATTTAACATCATATATGTAAATTAACTCAAAATGGATCAAGGACCTAAATGTAGGACCCAAAACAATAAAACTCTTGGAAGAAAACACAGGACAAAAGCCTCATGACATTGGATTTGGCAATAATTTAATAGGACACCAAAGGCACAGGTGACAAAAGAAAAACAAGTTGGACTTCATGAAAATTAAAGTTTGTTTTTTTACATCCAGAGACCCTATCACCAGAGTAAAAAGGCAATCCACAGGAGAAGATATCTTCGAATCACATATCCGATGAGGAATTAATATCCAGAACACAGGCGGAGCTCCTAAAACTCAACAAAAACCAAATAACTCAAATCAAAAACAGCCAAAGCGTTTGAATCGGCATTTTCCATATGAATGACAATAAACACATGAAAAGGTACATCACTAATCATTAGGGAAATGCAAATCAGTAACACAGGGAGATAGCGTTTTATAACCATTAGGATGGCGATTATCGAGAAAAACAGAAGTGTTGGGCAAGGATGTAGGAAAATTGGAACCTTATACACTGTTGTAGGAATTAAAAATGGTACAGCCTCCATGGAATATAGTACGTAGGCTCATAGAAAAATTAAAAATAGAATTATCATATGATCCAGAAATTCCACTTCTGAGTATATACCCAAAAGGACTAGAAATAGGGTCTCAAAGAAATATTTGCACACCTATGTTCATAGCAGCATTACTCACAGTAGCTAGAACACAGAAGCAACCCAGTGTCTATCAACTGACGAATGGATAAACAAAATGTGGTCAGTACTTGCGATGGAATACTACTCAGTCCTGAAAAGGAAGGAAATTCTGCAAAATGCTACAACATGGATGAACCTTGAGGACATAATGCTAAGTAACATAAGCTAGTGACAAGAAGATAAATACTGTATGATTCCATTAATATGAGGTGCTCAAAGTAGTCAAAATCAGAAAGCCAGAAGGTATCATGGTGGTGGCGGCGGGGGGGGCAGTGGGGAGTTACTGTTTAACAGGTAAAAAGGTTTTTTTTAACATTTATTATTTATTTATTTGATAGAGAGCATGCATGAGAGAGAGAACGGGGGGAGGGCAGAGGGAGAAGCAGACTCCCCGCTGAGCAGGGCGCCTGACATGGGACTCAATCCCAGGACCCTGGGATCATGACCTGAGCCGAAGGCAGACGCTTAACCGACTGAGCCACCAGGTGCCCCAACAGGTAAAAAGTTTTACAAGATGAAGAGAATTATGGGGGGCGGGTTGATGGTGGTGTTGGCTGCACAACAATGTGAATTTATTTAATACTGAAATACACACTTAAAAATGGCTAATATATTTTTATGTGTATTTTAACTCAATAAAAGAACAAATGACCAACAAAAGAATATATAAGGAGGTGTATTCACACAATGGAATACCGTTAACAATAAAAATGAACGAACTGCAGGGCGCAAGGCAGAAGAACAACAAGACACAAAGGAACACACCCAAAATGATTTCATTTACATAAAGTTCAAAGCAAACACACTAAACTCTACTGAACAAGGATGCGCACAAGGGTGATACAACTGTAAGTGAAAATAGGTAACAAAAGATGACCAGGATGACCCCTGCTGGTCCCCAATCTTGGCACGACCTCAAATCACCTTGGGTTGGCTGGGGGAGCTCTAAAATCTACCCCCTCCAGGCTCCGCGCCCAGAGGCTCGGATCTCACTTTTCCTGCAGCGCTGGCCTCGGGCATGCCCTTCCAAAGCTCCTTAGGTGTCGCCAACACGAGGACGAAGTGGACGACGCGGCTCTCCGGTGAGGGCACAGGGCCGGGGCGGGGCGGAGGCGGGGCCTCTGGGCTGCCGGCAATGGTTTCCTCGGCTGGGGTGAGTCTCACTGGTGTGACTGGATCATTGACTATACGTTCATTTCACGCCCTTACCCGCGGCCGTCAGCTCTCCCCTCTCTCCACAGCGCACACGTACGTGTTCCAGAGCCCACAGCTCACGGCCCTTACTTGGAGCTGCTTATCTACAAAATATTCCACACGGCGGGGCCGATCCAAGCTGGTCGTGTCCTTGTGGCCAAGCTGTCCATATTTACCTAAAGGGAAACGAGCCGCTGGGCCATCCTCCCCCCTGGGCCTTGGGGCTTTTCCCCGCCAGGAAGGAAAATCAGCCCATCAACCAAAGTGCAGGGCTTGAGCCACCACTCCGCCGGTGTCTGCTCTGGAAATTCAGGAGGCCAGAGCCACAGAGCCTTCGGGGCCAGGCCAGGTCCCCAAGAGGCAGCTGCCAGCAGCCACGCCAGGCAAGATGCTCTTCTAGGTTCTCTGCTCCTAACCCCAGACACTACCCAGTGCCAGACCAACAGAGGTGTCAAACATGCTGCCTAACTCTTCCCTCAAGACAGTTTTTCAGGAAGATACACGTGTGGGAAGTACTAATATCTACTCCTCTCCCATGTGGTCTCTGACTTCGGTGTGCTTAGATCTGTTCTAGGCAAGGGAATATGTAGCATTTCCGTCCCAGACTTCCAAGGGGTCAGGCCGAGGCCCCTGCTTCCGTCTGCTGCGTGGTTGTTATCTCCTGCCCTCTGCCCCCGGGCCCCTTCCTCCCCTGGTTTAAGCATCACACAAACAAACCTTTTACTTACCCCAGCCCCAGGTGTACAGCTCCCCAGTTCCTACAACCAGAAGGACAGTAAGGGGCTGTCACAAGGCATTTGTCTAGCATGACCTGCCACGGTCCAGAGCCAGCACCTTCTAAGTGTCCTGAGCTCCGCCTGGCACAGCACAACATATTCTCTAACAACTGTCTAATCACACCCGGGGCAGGAAAGGATCCAGGTGGAAGTTTACCTTCCTGGATGCCAACTGATCGGCCTGGCTCTCACAGCTACTGAGTTCAGGGGGCTGAGCACCTGGACCGCTCAGACCAAGCGGCCGGCAAACACTAGCATCCTTCCAGAAGGAGGGGCCTTCGTGGCCTGACAGTTGGGGGGCTACTGTTAAAGCCCCATGGGGGTTGGGGCTGTTTTCGCTGAAGGAGGCGGCTACTCAGTACTTGCCAGAGACACTTAAAGTCGAAGTTTTTAAGGGGATCACAGCCTTCTCTGCAGCACCAGCTAAGGGATGGGGTGGAGGACTTCCTGCTCCATCGTCAGCCGCCCGCCCAGCCCCCACTCACTTGTCACCACCGCTGTGTGCCGGGAGCCACAGCTGGCCTTGACTGCATCTGCGCCCCCGGGGAGATCCAGTAAAGCTGGGAAGGGCTGGAGGGCTATGAAGGGGGCCGGGGCTCCATCCTCACCCCCGGCTGTTCTCCTCACTTCGGGGCCACCTTCATTCAGTCCGCTGGCTTCAGAGAAGCAGCAAGAGAGAGCGAGGAGGATCGTGACTGGTAACGTGGAGCACTGCCTACACCTTAGCCATCCAGGACCTCAGGCGGCACGACAGCTCCACGAGGCCCCTGCCGTCGACACCACGGCTGCCGCTCCCAGCCCCCGCGTGCCCCAGAAGCGCTGGAGTTGACGGGTCGGGGGGAGTGCGCTGAGGAGGCTGGCATCAGCCCTGCCATACCCCCATCCCTCCCCAGAGCCCGGAGTCCTACAGAGGGTCCTGGGGTCCCAAGGATGTCCCGTGTCCCTTCTGAACACTACAAGGTCTCAGGCCAGCATGTGGCCAGGAGTCAGGAAGGACAGAAGCATGCGTGGAAGAACTGACCTTCACCTTCCCTTGCAACGGTCTTTCCATCCTCTGACAGGCTCCTGGTGGGCAGGGCCAGCTGCCCGGACTCATTCCAGCCCCAGATATAAATATCCCCAGTCTCTGAAAAGGAGGTGCAGGGGACCCATTAAACAGACTGTGAACCGCACCCTCACCCTCCTAAGCCCCCTGAATCCTGTCCAAACGCCTGCATACCCACTAATGCTGCCCCGCCCAGGCAGCCCTCCGGGCAGTGCCTCCCACAGGCCCCAGCAGCTTCCTGGTCTTACAGGCTCCCTTCCCCCTCAAGTGCTTCCGGCGTCCTTTTCTTTAAACAGGGTCTCCTGGATCTTCCTCTCCAGTTTCCCTTTTTCCCTGTGTTGCTAAATTGCCCCCGCCCCACCTCCCACATGTGAACCTGCCAAACGCCATCTTGCACAACGCTGCCATGACGACAGTTCGGAGGCCCCAGTGAAGCCTCCTTGAGAACAGCCCCCAGACGCACTTTTTTTTTTTTAAATAACACACATAATAATAGACCCTAAGAACACCCTGAGGGCATAAGGTCCTTGGATCTGCGCTGGAGAGGGGTCAGACACGGAACTATTCTCGAACATTCTCCTCCTGGGTGGTCGCCCAGCACGGGCTCCCAGCCTCTGGGGCTATAAAAGCAGGTCTGACGGGAGGGGGCTGTGGTCACAGCTGTGTTGCAGCCACCCAAGACGAGTCCGGAAGCTCCTTTAGTAAACCGTTTCTTGTCAAGCTGGACTTGTGGACCTTTTTCTTTGGTCTAGAACTCCTTTGGAGGTTGCTTCGCATAAACTTAACTTCCACGGAACACGCCACCACACACACTTCAGAAATGTATCCCTGGAAATTCCCAACGGCCTCCGTTTCAAACCCACTGAGCCCACGACACCCCTTTCCTCAGCCCCACCCACCACTGGTCCCAGTGAAAGCCTCTTCTGGAAGCTCGCACCTTCCTTGCCTCTCATGTAAAAATTCACTAATGACAGCAGCTCATTTTTAATCAAGTGTTTACTTTGTGCCAGCATTTTAAGCACTTTTCAATATAATCATTTAATTCTCAGAAGAGCCCCACAGAGGGTTATAGGACAACATCCCTGTTTTATTCATGAGAAAACAGTGGACACAAAGAGGTGAAGTGCTCTGCCCAAGGTCACAAGGGGCAAAGTGATGATCTGAACCTAGCAAGTCTGGCCTGAAGCATCTGTGCTCCAAACACTCTAACAAACTCAAGACCTCAAATTTCCAGCAACCTGAAGCGGGAGACTTCCCATCTGGCTGTTTCTAGTCTTCTCTTCCCGTCCCTCCGGTCCAGTAGTTTCCATGCGTTGCTGCCAAGCCAGGCCCATGACAGAGGACTATGGGGGTGGCGGTGCAGGCACACGATGTTTTTAAAGCTGCCTCCCACCCCCGGGGGGATAGAAGCGGCAGCCAGAGCCCCAGGTGCAGACCCTTGCAAAGACCACCTGCCCCCAGCCTCACTCAACAACCTAGCAATCAGCTACAGCTGGGTGGCCTCCCAGGGCGGTGGACTTACGATCCCAAACGAAGGTCCTCATTCTGGGCTCACCCTCACCACCATTATCTGCCCGGTGGACATCTGCGTGTCCACTGTGTGCCACACGTCATGGCCACCCGACGCCCTGCACCCTTTCTCCTCCATTCTCCTCAGCTCAGCTGCCTCCTCACCCCTTCCTGCGCCCTTGCGGAGTGTTTTAGAAACGCAGCCCTGACTGGCGGCCGAGGCCTGGGAGAGGTAGGGAGCCCACCGTCAGAAGACAGCAAACATCTGCACCAGTCACGGTGCGAGTGGGTAATGGCCCGGGCAGAGGGCTGACTTTGAGAGGCACTGAGGAGTCCTGAAAGACCTGGCTGATTTATATGGGATGAACGTGGAAGGAGGCCTGGCTAGACTACCCACCAACACTAGAAGAGGAGGAAGGTGTGGAGCCTAGGAGCCCTGGAGTTTGTCCGGAGAGGCACTATGTCACTTACCACTCACACACACGGAGTGCCAGCCACCGGCGGCCACCTCGGCCATGGGAAGGCCCTGCAGCGCCTCCAGCAGCCTCGGCTCCGGCTCGGCCTCCAGAGCCCCGTGGCCCAGCTGTCCGTGCCTGCGCAAGCGAGAGCCCAAGCAGGTCCTCCTCCCCTTCCTCCCCCAGTCCCACGCACAGGTCCCCACTCGGAGCCACGTTTATCTGCCCCCGCCCCGCGCCCACAGCCGGCCACGCCCCCCCTCACCTGCCCTGGCCCCAGGAGAACACCTGGCCCGCCTCGTCCAGCAGCAACGCATGCTCGGCGCCCAGCTCCAGCCGGCGCGCCCGCAGCTCCGGGGCCAGAGGCCGGTAGAAGGGCGGCCGCGGACTCACGTAGGCGCGCGCGCCGGGCAGCAGGGGCAGCGCCCCGGCCTGGGCCTCACCGCCCGCGCCGTCTGCCCGCTCGGCCTCCGGCACCAGCGTGTGGGTCCACAGGGGCTCCCCGCGCAGCGCGGAACCCGGCGCCCAGGCCTGCAGCTCCGGCCCGGGCCCGAGCCCCCGCCCGGCGCGCAGCACCACGAGGAGCGCCTCCGAGGCCCACGCGTCCCTGCAGCCGCCCGCCGCGCCGCCCGCCGCGCCCGACAGCTGCACCTGGCCTCCACCTGCGAGAGCGGAGAGCCGGCTGGGGAGCGGCCGGGCCACGCACCCGGGGCCGGGGGCGGAAGTGGGACGGAGGGGGGCGCTCACGGGTCACGACGGCGGTGTAGCTCCAGCTGGCGCTCACGCGGCGGACGTCGGCGCCCGCGCCCGGTGTCCGCAGCGGCTCGGGGCTGTGCACCTGGCGCCCGCGCCCCGAGCCCAGCGCCTGCCCGAAGCCGCAGAAACCGAAGCCGAACCAGGACCCCCGGCGCTCCTCGGCCATGCTGGCCGCCACCTGAATGGGGTGGGAGGCGGGACAGGGTCAGGAATCCCACCAGACTGAGGAAGATTCTGGGCTGCCTCGAATGGGGGCACTTGCCCTGTCTTTTCCCTTTGACTCAAGCAAGCTCATGGCTCCACAGAGTAGGCACCAGATATTTAAGTGGCGTCTCCCTTAGACGTTGTCCTAGGAGGTGAGCCCCTCCAGCTCCCAGTGTCAGGCACATTATCCCACGTCATCTTGGGAACCAGAATTACCCCCATTTGACAGAGGAGACTCCCAGAGAAAGTAACCCTTACACAGTCACATAACTTAGGACCAAGAGGGGCAGAGGCTGAAATCAAGGCCCACCGACTCCACACACAGTGCTCTTCCCACCAGGGCAAAGCAGAGCGTTTGGGAGACAGCGCCCTGTGCGGGTTCAACCAGGTCCAGGGTTCACGTGTTTGCCTCTGCAGGGAGCGGTGCCTGCGTCGTTGGTCCATTTACTTAAGCTTTCTGAGTCTTCAGTTTCTTCAGTTTTACAAAGGCAGGGGATAGGAGACGGTGCTGTCTGTACGTACCTTGTAGACCTGTGTGGAACAGATGGAAATAAACGGTTCACGTACTGGCACATATCACGATAGGCACAAGGTAAGTACTGGCTTATTAAATCCAGTACTTAGAAAGTCCAGTGGTACTTACTGGTTTTCAAGGGACCTATATATAAACACAAATTCCATTGGACCTCACCTAGGCATTTATTCGTTCTACAAGCATGTTATTGTTGCCCTCCCTTGGGCGGAGGAGAAAGACGGCTGTCTGCCCCCAGGGAGTTCACACATTAAATCGGGAAACGAATACCCTGTCCCGTGGTTACAAAAACAACGCTGCTTTTTCCGTACAGCATGTTCGGCTTTGAAGTCAGCTATGGGGTGCCTCCTGCGACCAAAGCTCCTTAACCCAGACCTGGGCTCCTAACCCAAGGGGGCCTCTGACCTTGATCTTGACCCTGTGCCCTCCACCCTCCTCGGGCAGCTCCTCCCGGCGGGCAGTCTCGAGGGAGGAGAAGCGGAGATGCAGGGCAGTCACTCAGGACCCGGGCGCCGGCCGCCGCGGAGGAAATGTTTGAAGAGCCGCCCCCCGGACCAGGCGCCCATTGGCTGCCGCAGCCTCCCCGGGCCAATCGCCGGCGAGGGCGGTGACGTCACCGCCCGGGGCGGGCGGCCGCAGGGCGGTGCTCATCTCGGTACCCGCAGTCCCGGCCGCGGCCTGTCGGGCCCGAGCTCTGACGAGCCGGTCCGCGGGTGTGCGCTGTGCCGCTGCAGCCTCGGGTGTGAGGTGGGGTAACCTCCGGTGGGCGCGTACCCGAGGCAGCGGTGGGCCGGACGGTCCCGCCCCCTGCAGGCCCGCACGGAGTTCAGGTTAGAATCCGAGCTGCGGGGCTGGCGAGGAGCGACCGCGGCGACGCGGGCACCCCGCCATTCCCCTCAGCCCGGGACGGCGGCAGCTCACGACCCACACGAGGGGCTGATGCCCAACAGGAAGCAGTTGTACTAGGCGGGCGCCTCGGCGAGTTTGGCCTTCCATTGGCTCGGGGCCTGTCACTCATCTCTGCGAGCCAATGAGCTTCAATCTGGACTCCCAGCACGGAAGCAGGTGCTCGCGGCTCTCTGCCCCGGCAGGTGGTGGAGCTCTCGCTCCCCCCGGATCAGCTACAGGATTTTTCCGTGAGGAAAGAGCAGGCCAGGACGACACACCGACCCCAAATCCAGCGCACTGCCCAGGCGAGGCCACGGGGAACGCTCAATACAGAGACAAGAGTATTGAAGGACCAGCATCGACGAGTCCAAAGCCATTTATTCCCACGCGACTTCAGAGATTTTCATTCGCTTCCTAGGTTTACCCTGATCCTCCAGCAGAATCCAAAAGCACTCAGCAGGCCCCAGGGTGAGGAATCCGTTGGATTCCTTCCGTAGAGGCAGCTGTGCTGTACAGCTCTGCGGTGCACTCGGCCAGGTCCCTGCCTCCGGACAGGGGGCACAATTGACTGCCCCGTACTTTTTATTAGACGGTCGGCGTGGTCCCGCTAGCAGGCTCAGGTGAAGCTCCTAAGCTGGTGAGGCTGCCTGAGGTGCCCTTCCCAGTGCTGGGAACGCGCAGGCTGGGTTAGGATGCGCCTTCCCCGTCCCCAGCGGTCTGCAGTAGACAGAAGGCCCTGTCGCGTGAGGCTGGAGGCAGGGCTGGCGGAGCAGGGCCAAGACTGACCGTGGTCCCTGATTCCGCAGAGGACATCAGGGGCAGCTAAGGAGAAGAGGCCAGCGTTCAGCATCCCAGCCCCCAGCAGCCAAAGCTGTGTCTGCCTCACTCCTCTGCTGCAGCAGGTAGCGCGAGCGTGAGGCAGCCCCTCACTCTCCATCCCGGTTGGGTTTGATAAGCCCGTATTCCACCGCTTTCCCCAGGCAGGCCGCAGCAGCTCTCCTGACGGGGCTCTCCTTGCCCTTGGCCAGCACCGACAGGATCTCCAGCACCTCGCTCTCCATGAGGGTGCCGGCGATCTCTTTCGAGGCCTCCACCATGTTCAGCGCCACCACCACACCCCGGTGCTGCAGCTCCTGGTTGGGGCTCAGGAGCAAGGCCTGCAGGATCTCCAGCCAGTGTGTGGTCTGCGGGAAACAGGGCAGCATCACCACCGAGCAGCAGGCTCAAACCCGGCAGGAACACTCCCACGCGCCCTGGGATGTCCCCCCACCGGCCGCCATGCAGGGCGTTCCAGGCCCACGTCCCCTCCCCCGCCGAGAAGAGGCACTGACCACTCGGGGGACGCGGCTGCAGAGCGAGGGCCGCATGGAGGTGAGCATGGCCAGGCCCCCAGCAGCGGCCCGCCGCAGCAGCTCATCCTCCTCTCCGCTGTATAGCACCAGCAGCTTCAGCCGGTCATTACCCTCGGCTTCAAAGAGGTCCTGTACCTGTGGCCAGAGGAGGGGAGGGGACTGAGCGAGCTGCAGCAAAGCCAGGAGGGGCACAGGTACCTCTGGGCACCTGCCTGTCATGACCACCCGGACCCGCCCTCACCTCCTTGCTCATGGCCAGGTTACACATGCATTCCGTGGCTGCCCGGCGGATCATCTCGTGCTCCTCGAACATGTAGCCCTCAATCATGGGCACGGCCTTCTCCTTCAGGATCTTCTGCCTGCGGGGCCAGGGTGGCAAGGTCAGCAGCCTCAGAGCTCCTGCATCCACCTCCCCCCACCGCTGCATCCCCACGCAATCGAGCCCCGGGTCAAGGACCTCTCGGGCAGCGTCCAAAGACCCTCCTGCACCAGGTATGAGCTGTGGTGGCTTCCAGCTTCTTCAACAGGCCTAGGAGGTAGCATGGGACCGTGGAAAATGCTCTAAGGTAGGAGTTCGGAGACTGGGGGGCTGGTGACAGTGATGCTAACATCTAATATTTAAGCACTTACCCTGACCCAGAATTTGGACTCTTTCTTAATCCTCACCATGGCCCTACGGTGAAGGTGCAGGTACGCTTAGTATTACTATTTTGTAGAAGAAGAAACCAAGGCTGAGTGCAGACAGGGAGCCCAATGTCACCATTCTCGGTAACAGCTGATGCATACCACTTGGCCACACTGCTGGGAGCGAGCCAGGTGCCACATACTCGGTGCTTCTGCGTGTATTTTCTCATTTAAAGCTCACTACCACTCCTGAGGTAGGTGCTACACCCATGCCATTCCACAGAAGGGAAACTGAGGCACGGAGCAGCACTCGTTTGCGGTTACACACTAGCAACCAGTGAAGTCAGGATGTGAACCCAGGCAGTCTGACTCCAGAGCGTGCACTGACACTGCCCCAGGCCTTGCGCACTGGTGGACCGCGGTACAAGTCAAACCTCCCGACCTGTCTCCCCAGCTACAGAGAAGCCCCTGTGAGGCTCAAGTCAAGCAATGATTGAAAGGTGCTCTTCAAACCGTAAAGTGCTGTCCTGGGGACCTTACCGGAGCCTCTCACTGATCCCCGCCAGGTTTGTGAGAGCCATGAGTGCCTCGAAGTTCTGCAGGCCTGAGCAGTTGAGGTGCAGCAGGGAGACAAGGGGCCGGACCACCTCATAGATCTGTAATACAGCCACCGGTCAGGGCCACTCACCCAGCCCCCACCAACCCTACCAACCCGAAGGTGAGAGGCCACCTCCGGAAGGAAGGTGGCCCTCCCCACCCTGGGGCTTCCTGTCTGTCCCAAGGAGGAGCCACAGCCCAGGTCAGAGGCCAGGAGGGCCCAGGGAGGGGTGGAGGAGAGGCCAGGGCTGGGGCAGCAGGACACACACCCGCTCGCCAGGAAAAGTCATCTCCGGGTTGGAGGTGATGGTGAGCTTGGCAAGAGCCTGGGCTGCCTTCGTCTGCCCCACGTCAGTGCCTTCCAGGGCCAGCGGGAGCAGAGCCTGTAGGGACGAGCCGAGCCGTCAGGGTCTGAGATGTGCCCTGCAGGCTAAGGCCCAAATCACCAGCCTGGTCCGGATGGTGGCGCGCTCACCTCTCTCCTCCCTCAGGCCTGTCGACGCTCCCGCTCAGACCCTCTTCCTCTCTCCCGGGCCTCTCCTCAAGCTGCCCAAACTCTTCCACAAACACTTACTAAGGGGCCAGCCGCGGCTTGGGCTGGGCCACGGGACACGCAGGCCAACGACACGGGAGAAAGGAGGAGAGTCCGGATCTTGATGGGCACAAACCCGCCCCCGGCAGCACGGCTCTCTGCAGGAACACGTTCCTGTGGGTCCCTCATACTGTGTTCCAGCCTCGTCTCCGCCGTGGCAGCCACTGCGTCATGTTTTATAGACCATTGGGAAGGAGTCTGTAAGGCAGCTTACCTTGCCCCCGCCCTGAGCCACCACAGTGCCACGGTCCTCTACCTCGTCCACCAACGCCAGGAAGACCCTGCGGGGAGACGGTGCGGGTGCGCGGGGGGCTCTGGCTGGCACACATCCCAGCCCCGGGCTCGGCGACGGCCAGCAGCTACGCGGGCGGCGCCCC